ATTCCAGCACTCTGTACACACAGTGGTGGACCAGCTGCCCACAAAATCCCTCAAACAGGATGGATACAAGACTTCCACCTGCACAAGCTCCTCAGCAACTGGTGTATGCAGGCATGCCACCTCTGGTAAAGGAAGTGGAAACACAGAAACAGAACAAGTCAGAAGGGGTCTCCCGGGCCATCTAGTCTGACCTCTGGCACCAGCTGGCTCCGCTTACGACATGTCCACCATGTGGACATCCAGCCTGTCCTTGAACACCTGCACCAATGAGACCTCAATGACCTCTCGTGGAAGCCCATTCCACACCCTTGGGGTCCTGACTGTCAGGAAGTGCTTCCTGGCATCCAAAGGGAACCTTAGCTCCCTGAGCTTTGCTCTGCTGGAGCGCGTCCTGCCTTCCTCAGCAGGGGAGAACAGGTCTCTACCCATCCCCATGTGACATCCCCTCACATACCTGTATGTTGCCAACAGATCCCCTCTGAGTCTCCTCTTCTCCAGGCTGAAGAGACCCAGTTCCCTCAGTTTCACCTCATACGGCATCCTCTGCAAACCGGCCACCAGCCTTGTGGCCCTACGATGCACTGACTCCAACCTGGCTATATCCTTTCTGTAATGAGGGGCCCAAAACTGAGCACAATACTCCAGTTGCGGGCGCACCAGAGTCGTGTAGAGTGGTAGTAATACCTCCCTTGATCTAGAAGCCACACTTCTGGCTATGCAACCAAGGGTGGCGTTTGCCCTCTTGACCACCGCATCACACTGCTGACTCATGTTTAGCCTGCAGTCAGCCAGTACCCCGAGGTCCCTTTCACAAGTGCTGCTCTCCAGCCACTTGTCACCTAACCTGTACTTATGACACCTATTCCGATGCCCCAAGTGCAAGACCCTGCACTTATCCACATTGAACACCATCCTGTTGTCTCCTGCCCACTTCCATAGTCTGTCCGGATCCTTTTGGATCTGGAGTACCTGCTCCTCAGTTGTGGCCACTGCTCCAGTTTTAGTGTTGTCTGCGAATTTGATCAGCAGACTGTTCACCCCTTCTTCCATGTTGTTAATGAAAAGATTAAACAGGATTGGCCCCAGGACAGAGCCCTGGGGGACCCCGCTTGTCACTGGCCGCCATCCCGATGATTCCCTGCTAATGGTGACCTTCTGCTTTCGGTCAGTCAACCATGCCCTAATCCACTGGACAGTGCTTTGGTGTATCCCAAAACTCCTCAGTTTCTCCACCAGGATATCATGGGGCACTTTGTCAGAGGCCTTGCTGAAATCCAGGTATACCACATCCACTGCATTCCCTCCATCTAGCCATCTCGAAACCTTGTCATAGAATTCCACAAGGTTTGTCTGGCAGGACCTGTTTTTGCAGAAGCCGTGTTGTGTGGCTGTCAGCCTCCCTTCCCTATCTAGCATCACTAGAACTCTCTCTATTATGAGCCTTTCCAATGTTTTTCCTACAATGGACATAAGGCTAACCAGTCTATAATTCCCCATGTCCTTTCTACTACCCTTTTTGAAAATTGGGACCACTGATGCCACCCTCCAGTCCTCTGGAACTTCACCCGTTCTCCGCAAGGTCTCAAAAATGGAGGCCAGTGGGTGTGAGAGAACCCCTGCCAACTCTCTAAGTACTCTCGAGTGTAACCCGTCAGGGCCTGGCGCCTTTGTAATGTCCAATGCCCTGAGAAGCCCCTCGACTTCAAGGGGGGTGACTCTAATCTGTGCCCCTAAGTCCCCAGCCTCATCTAATCTCCTATGCGGATATCCCCCGTCCTGCTTTGGGGAGAACACAGAGGCAGAATAGTCAATAGTTCCCTCATATCAGTCACTGGATCTCCTTCCTCCTTATTTAGTGGTCCCACTACTTGTCTCCCCTTCCTCTTCCTATTTACATGCTGAAAGAAGCCCTTTTTGTTGCTCTTGATATTCTTGGCAAGTCTCAGCTCGTAATCAGCCTTAGCCTTGCGAAGAATCCTTCTGCAACGGGCCTCCTCCTCCCGGTATACCCTTTTGTCTATTTCCTCCAGTACCCATTTCCTACGGAGGTTCCTCTTTCATCTAATCCCTTTAACCACCTCCTTTCGCATCCATGGCAGCGCTCTCCTCTGCCTCTCCACCTTTCTGTCTAGAGGTATCATCAAGGCTTGCGCCTCCAAAACCTCCCTTTTGAGTGCCATCCACCCCTCCTCAACTCGCTTACCTTCCAGTAACCCATCCCAGGAGACTTTCCCCAGTCTGGCCTTCAGTTGGCCAAAGTTGGTCCTCTTGAAGTCCCATCTTCTAGTGCTCGACCTGCTGCACGTCCCCAGTCCCCTGATCTCAAAGCAAAGGATGGAGTGATCACTCGCATCCAGAGCTCCCCCAATCTGTACTTCATCTATCAGCTCTTCCCTATTTGTCAAGAACAAGTCAAGGATGTTCCCCCCCCCTCGTCGCCTCTCGGACCCTCTGTGTGAAAAACCCTCCCTCTATAGCTTCTAGGAAGCGACGTGACCTGGCTGTCACCGCCGAGTGAGTCTCCCAAGTAATATCCGGGAGATTGAAATCTCCCATAATTACTGTGTCTCTCCCTGAGATATCCTTAGAATCTGGTCTGTCAGGACATCATCCAGGGTCTCAAGTTGACCTGGAGGGCGATAACATACCCCCACTGTCAGGTCTCTTTCCCTGTTAAAACCCCTAAGTTTCACCCAGACTGTCTCTACCAAATCCCCATCTGTGCTGCATTCTATCTCACTGCATCCTATCCCTTCCCTGACGTATAAAGCCATGCCCCCACCCCTCTTTCCCTTCCTGTCCTTTCTAAAAAGGTGATACCCCTCTATGTTCACATTCCAGTCTTGCCTTTCATCCCACCAAGTTTCTGTGATTCTCACCAGATCATACCCTCCTATTTCCAGGAGAGCTTCAAGCTTTTCCTGCTTATTACCCATTCTCCTAGCTTTAGTGCACATGCACCTCAACTCCTTCCCACCGCTTCCTTTCCTTGGAGTTCCCAGCCTCCTCCTTCCTCCCCTCCTCCCTGATACCTGGCCCCTCTCTGTAGGAGTCCTGTCAGTCCCTGCAGTATCTCTAAAACCCTGCTCCCAGAGCCCTGATCCTCCCCCCACACGTGTCCAGTGCAGATACTTTACTGGGGGGCCTGAACCCCGCCCCCCGGCTCAGTTTAAAGTCTTCCGGACGAAGCTTGCTAGAGCATCTCCAAAGGACCTTTTCCCCATCCTCATGAGGTGTAACCCGTCCCTTGCCAGAAGTCCATTGGCAAAAAACAAGTGCCGTGGTCGAGGAACCCGAAGCGTTCCTTCTGGCACCACACCCTAAGCCAGTCGTTCACCTCGGAAGCCCTCCTGTCCCTTCCTGGCCCAAATCCCCAGACCAGTAAGATTGACGAGAAGGCCACTTGGGCCTTCAGCTCCTTGAGTTTCTTCCCCAAGGCCTCAAAGTCCTTGGTGGTCCCAACCACACCCTGCCTGGCCACATCGTTTGTGCCCACATGGATCACCAGGAGCAGCTGGTGACCCCCAGAGTGAACAAGATGCTCCACTCTGTCCTTCACATGCCGGATCCATGCGCCCAGCAGGCAACAAACCTCCCTTGTCTCCAGGTTGGGGCGGCACACTGCCACCTCAGTGCCCCTGAGCAGGGAGTCCCCAACAACAATCACCTGCCACCATACCTTCCCGGTGCTGGTGGGCAGCCGTGCCCTGGCCTTTGCCTCTCCCGCAGCGGCCCCCTTGTTGCCTGACGTCCCAGGCTGGGGGTCCTGCTGGTCCCCCGAGGCCTCATCAGCCCCAGCCTCCCCAAGTGGAGAGAACCTGTTTCCCAGCTCCAGACTGGTGCCAGGAGAAGGAGGAGGCCGTGCTGGCCTCCTCCTCCTGTGGGTGGCATACCTCCATGTTTCAGCAGCTGCTCCTCCCGAGGTCTCTCCCTCAACCCTCTGTCCAGAGGGCGGCTGCTCCGGGGGGGGCCTGGAGAGCTCTCTCGGCCCTCAGGCACCTCACCTCCTCTTCTAGCAGGGTCACCATCTTGCACCGAGGGCAAGAGTATCCCTGCCTCTCCTGGGGGAGAAGGGCGAACATGTCGCAGCTCTCGCAGCGGACAGCAACACCCGTGACTCCCGCCAAGGCCATCTCCTGGTCTGCCATCGGTATCCCTTCCGAGACCTTACCTTGGTCCCCTGCCTTGTTTGCCCTGCAGTTCCTCTCACTCGCCCAGTTCTCCCAGACAAAAACCCACTCGCACACACACACACAAGGATAAAATAAACTTAAATTGGAAGAAAAACAAAGCAAAGCACAGCACAGCACAGCACAAACAAAAACAAACAACAAACTATCAAATCTCTGTGTCTCAGGGAAGGGAGTCTCCAGACAGCCCGGGCCGCAGCCAAGGGCCGCAGCCAAGGGACGACTCCCTTCCTCTCTGCTGCTCTTGGCCCTCTGCTCCCCTGCCCAGCTCCTACCTTGCCTTCACCAGTCCCCTGGCCACTCAGCACTCTCTCCCAGCCTGTGCCTCTGCTGCTCTGCCAAGAGGCTAAAGCCAAAAAAAGTAGCACAGAGTCAGCAAGGCTAGTAGCCTCCTTCCTCATGAATCTGTCCAATCCCCTTTTGAACCCATCCAGATTGGTGGCCATCACAACTTTCCATGGCAATGAATTCCATAGTTTTACTATACATTATGCATGAAGAAGTACTCCCTTTTATCTGTCCTAAACCTCTCACTAATCAGCTTCCTGGGATAATCCTGAGTTCTGCTGTTATGGGAGAGAGATAAAACAGAATATAATAAACATTTCCTTTTTCAGAGAATGCATTGTGCACTTCCAGCTTTGTTCTTAATCACAGAATCAAGAATGTGAGAAAATTCACAGGTTACCAGAGCCTGGCTTCCCCACTGTATTCCAAAGTACTCACCCAGTAGAAAAAACAAGAGACCAGAAACATCTGAAAACCAAATACTTTATTTTCCAGAAAAAATAAATGGATTGTGTTTGCGGAGTCAAAGGATTTTTGTTTCTCACAGAGGCTGTGACATTTTTTGCTATACCCTTCTGGTTCCTTGGATGATCACTCACTGATGTTTCCAAATTGCTGTATAAATAGAAGTTTCTTTGCAGTCAGCACTGGGGAAAGGGGGATGGATGGTATACGGTGTTTATGTGAAGGTAGAAAAAGGGGATACTGGCTCTACTAAGCAGTGACAGACTGTCTTGTCTTGTCTGAAGAGAACGGCTGTTCAGCAGCTCCTTAAGTAGCTCTATGGGAGGAAAAAATATGTTTGTGATTCTCACGCTCATTAGTATCAAAGGTTGGCAGTATTGCTAATAGAGAGTATGAAGTGGCTTTTTCAACAAAAGAGATCTGGAAAGGTGGAGGAACTCCTTGGTTGGCTGATTTGGCCTCATCAGCTATGTGATGCCACTGTTTTTGCAAACATTAGCACTAGAAAGTGATAGTGAGCTGATCCTATAGTAACGTTGTATGGCCTGGAAAATATCCAATGCAGCTAAACAGGGTAGAAACTGCAACAAAAGGAAAATGGTTTTCTACTTACTTAAATGGATGTTTGCATTTTGAGGGTTCTATTCTCTCCAACTATTAGGGTATAGTATAGTATAGTATAGTATAGTATAGTATAGTATAGTATGATGGGCTTCAATTTACTTGTCTAGTGCACCACCCAAAATTAATATCCAGCTTTGCTAACACAGAATGCAATATTTTTCTTTGCTTCTACTCTCTACTTTCCCCCCAAACCTGTGTGTTCTGCCCAAGGCAAATGCACATGTTATATCTGGCCTTTATCCTTTCATAAATGGGGGTCAGTCATCCCTTGTTTCAGAATCTGAATCAACACACATAGTGCTGCTATTCCATTTCATCCTCTTTAACAAATTTTCTGTGCTAAAGAAAAAGCAAATGAAGCAGTGGGGAAAGATGGAAGCGTTACAAGTCAGCATCGTTCAGACATCTGTACAATTCTGTGCACAGAGTAGGGCAACTGCACAATTAAAGGCTGATCTGGAAGTACCCTGTGCCTAAAATGCAGGGGTCATGGTCATAACATCTGGCCTTACTTTCATACTTTTTTATATCCCCCCCTTCCCTGATTTTGGTATCACCTCTTCTAATTAAGTGTTCCAGTGAACTCAAAAGCTTGCACACTATTCTGCATCATTTTGGTTGTTGCTCATAATAAACCTGAGGATTTTGGAGTTTTTTCCTCATGAACTGATATGGTTAACATTGCTTTTAATATCAATAAACATGTCAACAATTAACTTTGCACACTTGGTAACAATATGCCTCCAGGGCTGCTTCAACCAAAGCATCTGTCTGAAGGCAGAATTCAGTAGCCACAAAGATGTGATCACTCAGGATATCACAGAGACAATGTTCATTGCAAAAGAGTACTAGGCTTCATATTGGAGAAGCTTCAGGGAAGGAATGTTCTTTGCTAAGCAAAAGAGAGCAGCACACATCAGTCCATAACACAAACTACATTCGGAAATACATCACCTACTTGCTGACATCCTCTCAGCTTGCCATGATGTGTTTAACAAAGGCTGTGGGAGAGAAGGGAGACAGTTGTTAGGAAACAAGACGCCTCCTCCTCCTCCTCCTCCTCCATTTGGCCCAGCCAGTGATCTCTTTCATATATGATATTTAAGTTGGCAGTCACCCTTGAGAATGATGTCCGTTAGACATTTGCTGCAAAGCTTTTGCTCCACAGATCATTTTATTTAATGTGCAACTGGTCTGTCGAAATTGTAGCCACAGCTTGTGTGATAAAGTTAAGACACTTGTGGAAGCACCCCATCTCATCCCCATGTCTTTTCTTGGGGGCATTTTTAAAATATCTTTATGGCTACATTCACCTTTTATGAAACATTAGGAGGTATATATTCACCATTACTAGCCAGCTGTGACCTCTACATTCCCAACAGTGAACAGTTCATCCACATAATGTTGCACACTCACTTGCTCATGAAAATTGCAATATGCAACCCCAGGAGGTATATCACAATGGTAAGCATGCACAATGTTTGGTACAGATAAGAAACACCATCTTGCACAATTTCATCATCATGCTTTCCGGTAAACAGGGAACTTCTGTTTCTGTTGAATCAAACTGAACTGAATACTTCGCTGTCCAAGGCAAATGTTCTGACACCTGGCCTAAGGGACTACACACCTGCTAATAGACAGTCCCAGCCTCTCACCTTCATAATTAATGCAGCCATTGGCATCTTCATGTCCAGATAAGAGGGTGTCCACTTCTTCTTCAGTCATTTTCTCGCCTGAAAAATACAAAAATAAAGGATGATCCATGAAAGAAAAGGGGACAGACTCTGTGTGTCAGCATTTCCCCCCAGCCCTCCCACAGTGAGCTGGTCAAATAATACAACTTATTCCTAGATTGAGTAACTCAATCTGGTAATAAATAGATCTATTTGAATCAGACTGAGCTAACATTGTTTAGATTCGCAGAGCATCACAACTGTCATGAATAGGGGTTGACCAGTTTCCTCAGTGTGACTTGTGAATGGACAGAAAGCCAACCAGCAACCCATAGGTAGGGGTTGTTCTATCTATGTTTGTTTGTCATATCTTCTGGACCTGAACAACCAACCTCTCATGATAGGGGGAATTAGCTAGCAAGACCCATGATAAAACAGCAAAAAACCTCACTGGCCTGACAGTGGACCATTGGAGGAGTTGCCCTTGGTTCCTCTAAATTAAAAAAAATGCACAAAATTATGTGCATTTTACCTTTTCTAGAAAAGTTGCAGTTATACAAGTGTGAGCCTTTACAGTTGCATGGCTAGGGGGATCTGAACCCTCAGCTAGGACAATATCTGAGGGAGAGTTCCTGCCAAGAGGCAGCAGATACCAACCCTGGACACTGTCCAGGAGAGGCTCCAAATACATTTCCTCCACTGTTGGCTTTTTTTGACAGCTGTCAGAAGATGAGCTGTCAAAAACCAAAGACATGAGATAACTTTAGCTGCAAAAACATGGCTGGAGTGATTTACATCCCCATGACAGCAAGAACCCCCTCTACCTCCCCCCTCATCCTTTCATTCCCACCAGGGCACACATTTTGTACTTTGTTCTGAGGGTTTGTGGCTGGAACTGGTCTATCGCCAGGGTAGATTGCTGTGACATGTGAATGTGACCATTAAGACTTTCCACACAGGCTACTTTCAAAGAGAAAAGTAAAACCTACTGCATACGGAGAAATTCAATTGCACGTTGAGCTGACTCAATTCATAAAGAACACTGTTTTCATGCAGGACATGGTTTAATGTAAATGGCATCTAAAATTAAATTAATTTTGGAATATTTGCTCATAGACTATATTATTAAATATAAGCAAGTATTATAGTGTTAGTGCTATATATAATGTATATAATAAAACATGTGTACTATATATATAAAAGACTAATATGTAATGAATTCCAGTTGATCAGTAAAGCAAAACATTGGCATGTGCTGCCTTTATGCCCATATGGTTTATGGATATATTTGAGAGGGTTGAATTTCAATGGAAGAGATCAAATTTTCAATTCCTGCTCTTTCGTGATGCTCACACATTGAGATTGGTTCATCATGCCTCAGTGTAGATAAGTGGCAGCAAAAGTGGATTGAATATCTGTGATGGTGATAATTCTAGGAAACGAACGAGACTGCAAAATTCCTCTCTGCAGCAAGGCTGCTCCCCCATACAGTAATGTATGTATGGTTGGCACCAGAATGAGGCCAGTGCTAGCCTCATAGGCTCTGTGTTAAAGTAAGGAAATCACTTCCACAAGATGTAGTGATAGCCGCCAATTAGGGTGGCTTTAAAAGGGGACTGGACAAATTCATAGACAGGCAGGCAATCAACGGCTACTGGCCCAGATGGCTTTGTGCTTTCTCCAGCATCAGCGGCACCGTGCTGGAGAACATGGATGGGAGCTGCACTCATATCCTACTTGTGGGTTCCTGTGGTTGGCCACTGCGAACAGAATGCTAGACTAGATGAACCCTTGGTCTCACCCAGCACAGCTCTTCTTATGTACTTAAGTTCTTAAGAGGAAATAGGATTTAAAACATTGCCTGCAAGAAGAAAGCCCTCAGCAATGCTTAAATCTACCCAGTTCATTTATGAATTAACACAGATTTCAAATGTGGATTCAGTGCAACACCACCCATTGACTAGTTTAGTGCCTTCCCAACTTGTGTCAACCAAGAGAGTAATTGGGGTGATGGTTATGGTGAGAAAGGGATCCTTCTTCTTTGGGATCCAGAATCCTTTTGGGATCTGGGCTGTGGCTTTCTTTCTCTACACTAAATGTGTCCCAAAAGCCATTCTGGCCTTCTAACACTTCTTACCAAGAGTGGCAAGGACATGGCGCAATTCTGCTCCCATGACGGTGCCGTTTCCTTCTTTGTCAAAGACCCTCAGCCCTTCCACATAGTCTTCATAGGTGCCTTGATCTTTGTTTTTGGCAATGGTCTGCAACATGGGCAGGAACTCTTCAAATTCCACTCGTCTGGAATTCAGCTCTGTCAAAGGTGCAAAAGAGAAGAAACAGGTTCCAAGGCCTGCTTTCCACCCAGTCCTTCTCATCCCACATGCTCAGAAAGATGTGTCCCCTGACCATGCATGCAGAAGTATTCCACTATGAGAGTGACCTGAAGAACCTATATTTTGCATCCTGAAAATAGCGTATGATTCCAGGGGAAAATACAGGCTTGAACCTGGAGAGCCTAGGCAAGACTTCAGGTATTTTTCACATGTGTGGTGTAAAGCTGTTTTTGCTTCAGCTGGATTTGTATAATGCAGATGTAAAGCATGCACTGGGTAGAATGCTTACACTACAATTGCTCTTGTCCCATTTAATACTAAACCAAGAGAACGAGTGGGACTGGCAGCAGGGTGGTGCAGTGTGGAGTGCTCCTGTTTAGAGTTCCAGTCATGACACCCCCACCCCGGTTACTCCATTGCATTCCTCTGGCGACTGTTTTTCCTTTTTCCTACCACCCCAGTGGTCAGCCAGCACTCCAGGATCATTCAGCATGCTAGTCCCGGCTGAGCTATTCAGATTTCCTCCCCCTCCTTAGGTTTTCCTCCCACTAGATGTTTTGTACTTCTGAGCCTGCTGATCTCTTCCTCTTCTGCACGGGTGGTGCCACTTGCATTTATAAGCAGTGGCATCCATGCCTGAGTATCAGGAATGATAAATCTTGAAAACATTTCTACCTTCACATGTGAAAATGCTCTTGCAGTACTTGGGGGTGGGGGCAGTTTATGAGGCCCACACAACTTCTTGTCTTTGATTCCCACACATTTCTGTAATGTTTCACTATCCCAGCCCTTTAAAACCCAAATCATTAATTTAAAAAAATGAACCCTCAAATCCTAGAAGCACACTAAATTGTGCAAATGCACTTAATCTTCACAACTTCTTCAGTGGGTCTAGTTAAGTCATTTGCATAGTGCAGCATACGCATAGCTTTAGCTACTAAATTTTATTTAAGGAGGTTTTTCCACCTATTTATTTATCGTATTCATATTCTGCCCTTTTTCTTTCCAAGGAACTCAAGGCAGTTTACATAATTCTCCTCATGCTCTCAGTCGTATCCCCTCCACAAGAACCCTGTGAGGTAGACTGGCCTGGAGTCACCCTGCGAACTCCATAACTGAGTGGCGACTAGAACCCAGAGTTCCCGAGTTCCAGTCTTAACTACTACATCACACTGGCTTTCACCATCCACTGAGTGATGTCACAGGTCGATCTGACTGCCTAATTCTAAATTCACTACCCCTTTTACTGGCTCTGGCTTCTATACCTTCTGCAGTGACTTGAACTGCAGATATGAAAGTATTTTCATGCCTTAAAAGCATCTCCATCATTTTTATAGATCAGTTTGCTGTTAAAGCCACAAGAGCTGGCCTGCCCATTTTTTTCCGTTCAATGAGAAGCCTACATAGCTTTCATTTTCCAGCTCTACATTCCAAACTGGAATTACAACCAAGATCTTTTCTTAAATGAACAGGGATTTCATTCTGTAATCCATGGAATCTAGTGCCCTCAAGTGGCCATATGATAACTTTCCTTACATGTAATTTTCCCTGCAGAGGCAACTCACCATCAGGCTTGGGGTGTCCCAGGACTTTCATGATCTCAGCATTAGTGGGATTCTGGCCCAGGGCCCTCATCACATCCCCGCACTGGCTCAGCTGGATTTTGCCATCGCCGACCCGATCAAAGAGCCCAAAGGCCTCCTTATAATCTAGGGAGATCAGACCAAACTTTTAATGTGGTTTTTCTGTGATGAGGTCTCCAGACTGTGTTGCTGCAGAGGACCCAGGGTTTGGGTGGATAAAATATCATGCTCATGATGCCAGCTGTCAACAAGATGATTCATATAATCCTCAGAAACTGGACACCACCATTTGGAAGGTCTGCTTAACCTGTCCAGTTTCTATCACTCATCAGAGCCAATATTAAAGGAGGGTGTTTCCTACCAAAGGGCAACCTCTGATTCAGGACAGGTCTCTAAAGAAAAAAATGGTTGGAGACCAGAGAAGGCCTAGCTATTCCTGTTCCTAATGGAAGAGAGCTCTCAGCAGCCCTTCCAAAGGGGCATCACCTTGCTCTTTGCAGGGCTTTTGTTGCTGAGCAATTCATTTTTATATTTAGACAGCGCCGCTAATCCTGAAGCAACCTTGAAGAGCGCATAGGCATTACTATTCAGGCAAAAATCCCTGCATCCTGCAGCTGATATGCCCATTTTCTAGTAAACTGCCTAATGGATCATTCCTTCAACTTGCTACAGAACATTTTCATGGTAATGGCAACTGAAAGTGTGATGTAGTTAAATCAGGAGCCTACCAATTTTCACTTCTATCATTCCTGAATTTTTTGAAACATTTATCTCTTCCTTCTCAGAATGTTTAAAGCAGCTTACACAATATAGTTTCTGATGCATGAGAGTGTAAGGTGAGCATGGATGGGCTCTGTAAAAATATGTCTACTTTAGTAATATAATTCTGTATACAGTTTTCAAGTTTATTAACTATCATAGCTTCCAGCCAAGAAACCTGAGTATAAACAGACTCCTTAAAGTATTTTTCTGGCAGATATTAGACATTTAGTTCTGTGAAGCAGCTACTGAGAAAGCCATTACAGTAAATCCAGTTTCAACTCTATTTAAATGGGTGCTGTGGATGCATCTTAATGAAAGTTCTAACAAACTCCACAAAATTACAATTTCCTCAGGGAAGATATGACCACTAAACTAGTTTAAAATTATAATACCAAATTTAAAGTGAAGCCAAGTACAGAAGGCATAGCATCATTTGAAAGTGCCCTCTTCCTTGTCCTGTAGCAACTAATTCCAGAAAGCTAGGGCTTTTGTTAATCTGCTGCTTGCAGCAGAAATGGAAAGTCTTGCAGTACCTTGAACAGATTTACCACAGCATAACTATGTAGGGCTCAGTATTTCCGTATACCATGAAAATGGAGGCCTCGATAAACCTGATAGTCTTTAGTAGCAATGCTCTGTTGTTTTTGTTGCCATTCACATTGTTCAGAAATATCACCTAATGAGTAAGTCTTGCATCTGTTTTAACTGTCTTGCTATTTTGCATCTGGGTACGGGGAGCAAAATAGAAAGTATTCACACATAATACACATGCATAGAAATAAGTGCAGTTAAATACATTGTAAAATGGCAACTTTTTCTTTCAAAATGGAGGTGATAACATGAAAAAAGCAAACCTGTAAACAATAGCTGATCCTTCATAAACAGTCTCTCAGTTCATACATGAACACACACTTCATGCTTGGTGTGTCAATGCCAATATATTTTGTACTCTGGTATCTATTTTCTGTACCTGAGTATAAAATATGTTGTGGGAAATGGCCTGGGAAAACCTAGACTTCCAAACTCACAAATAATTTTAATTGTTACCTTCAGTCATGCATTTCACACCCATTCCACATTCATGAATAGATCTTGTTGAAGAACATGCAGTTTTGATAGCCAGCCATACCCCCAAACCTTGTTTGGTGAGTTTTCCTACATGGGTGTTTCTCACAGGCAGCTGACTAGCCATGGCATGAAGAGATTGTGAGACTAGATCGACCCTTGGCCTGACCCAACATGGCTCTTCTTTTGTATTTATTTATTATTGTGTCTGGCCATGTTCCTCTTAATCATTTTGGAAAGATTGAACCTAGGCCCCAAGGGGAACCAGTTGCAAAGGATGACAGGAGGGCACTTAAGCTTTTAACAGTTGAGTGGAAGAGGGCACTCATCTCTGCATGACAAGCTGCTGAAATTGCTCCTTTAACATAACCATTATGGGTATCAAGGTCCCACTTCCCTATGCATCATGTTTCATCAGATAAACCTTTCTCATCCTGGTCATGTTTTCTTCCTTCTGGCTGAAAGGCCTCGAAAATGGCACCCAGAAGAAGAAAAGAGCTTGCAGTTTAGTGGAGGACTAGACATCAGAATGCTTGCATGAATACGTGAGATCAGCCCTTAGCTGCAGGGAAGCGATGGGTGCACTGGGAGGGCTGGTGAGGCAGAGAGGACAAGTGCCAGTACTGTTTGCTGTGTCTGAAGCTAGAAGCCAGAGGAGTTCTAGGGGAAGGCCAGGGCAGAAAGGAACGGTGCAGTTGTTCTCGAAGATGACAAGGATACGTGCTCCTGGTGTTTTGCCTCCTGGGACTTCATTCCCATGGCTTATGTCGTTGGACTGAAAGGAGCTCTTCCCTGTCTTTCCTGTCCCTAATGTAATACTGCAAAATTTGGGATGTGATGTTATCCCACTCGGAGTTTCCTTGCTCTCAGGGGTGGCAGCTGATCAAATGAAGCACGGGTGAGGAAACTTGAAGCTCACTGACATCAGATCATACTTTTTGTAGTACTCAATGTTATGGCAGTGGGTGAAGAGGAGGAGACGGGGGGTTACTCTTTATGACAGCAGCTTCCATAAAATCTATTTCTGGCCTTAGAAACCAATAAGCGTTGGGAAGTAACAAATGAAAACATGGAGATGAGCAGTGGTTGTTTTGTTAGAATTGATTGAAGCAACAACTCAGATGAAAGTTTGCCTCAGGTAGCTCAGCCATTCATATGCTCACTCTTCTGCCTACCCCACTTTCTTTCCAGGAAAGACAGATCCATGTGCTGTTGGCCAATTCCAAATAATCAACTTACCCTCCAGCTGCTCCTTAGAGAACTCAATCTGGAAAGAGAAAAGAAAGTGATTTGCCGTTGTGTCAGCCACAGGACAGGGTGACAGTTTTTGAAGTGAGATACAAACTTACATCAAATGCTCAGGACCAAACTGTTGAAGAATATTTAGCATTATTAAAAGTAAATGCTTTAGGACATCATAAAACTCAAAAAGCAAAAATAAAGTTTGAATAGAGAGGTTATTGCCTGTCAGTTTTGACATTTGGCATTCAATTTTTACAGAAAACGAATTGCGTGAAGGATGGACAATTTGGGACTGAAAGTCATATTGTACATTTTTGTCAATGCATGTTTCAAATATACCTATTCAGTTCATCAGACTTAGGAACAAGCTGTTCTTGGGGTTCTGAGGACATTAACTGGCTTCCACAGGTCAAATATGTCAGGACTTCACTTACCCACTAAATTATATGAACCCAAAAACTTATGATAATGACGATGGTACAACAGCCTGCCCTGTGAGGCTTCCGAAAGGTAACATCTATTGATGCCATTCCTTTATTTCCCGCACCCTTGTGAGGGAGGTCTTGGAGACAGAGAATATTTCTTTCCAATGTTATATTTGAAGTGCAATGCAAGGGTGGCAAAGGACATGTCCCCAGAGCCTAAGTCCTTCCCTACTTCTTGTGGCAACAGCTGGGGACAAGTAATAGGAACAAAGTGACACGGACTGTCCATTTCCTAGAATGGATACTGTTCTAGGAAGCCTCCTATCAGTACACTGAGCCAAAGAAACGTATTTTCTCAAACTATGGTATTGTTGTCATGAATGCACAAATCAATAGGTAGAACTTTCATTGGTAAAATCATTCAATCATTGACACTTAACCAGGCCTGAGAAAAATCCTCTTTTCTAGAAATCAGCATGTGTGCATCCTTGAAATGTAGCTGACACTGAGCAGGCACCGGTCCAGAGAAAGCTAGTTGGCACTGGATAGATAACGGCAGCTCAAACAAAAGGCGATTCACCCCATCCTCCTCCTATGTAATAGCACCCCATCCTCTCCCCTCCTTCAGAGCATGTTTGGTATGCAAGTGGGAAAGATCACACCATTGCAACTTTTTACTTCTGTAACCTATTGGAAAATGTTAACTGTATTATGTGTAACTCTTGAATGCTCAATGTATGACAGTGCCAACTGAGGACTGCTCAGATGCCCCATCTGGGACGATTCGTTGGTAACCGGTCATTCTCGAGAATAAATCCTTTAAAAGAAAACTTTCCCCTGTTGTATATTTTGGACACATGCACACCAGGACATGAACCATTTATCAACATCATGATCAAATTACCAAGATATATTCTGGGCTTTTAGTGGTATCATTGGTATTGGTTGTGCCACTGCTGATATGTATTTTGTATTTCTACCACGATTCTTTTATGACTGGATATTTCCAAATTTTACCTGTATCTTTGGTTAATTTTGTGGCCTGGGGGCTATACATATGAATTCTATAGGCTTTGGGGGCCAATGGCATTACAACATCTCTCTCTCTCTCTTTTTTTAAGAGCGGCAGTTGCCACGGAGTGGCTTTGACTTTTTAATTCTTGACCTCACCCTAAGGATGGGGTTGAATCAGGCTGGATGCAGGGTGGCAAGCTCCTTCTGTGACCAGAGACCAAGACATGCTCAGAAGATACTTAGTGGGCCAGTAATGCCAGTTCAGCAAGAGGGTTCTCGGATTGAAATCTAGATCAGGTTTATATACGGGTGAGCTTTTTCCTCTCTATGATCATTCTCCTTATTGGAGCCCTACCTCACTGTTTCAGGAATCCTTTAACATTAGGAGGGCATGGCTGTTGACTGAATGCCCCAATCCTCCCGCAACTTGATCTCCTAGTTTCAGAAGGTGGCATCCCAGCAAACTAGTGCCATAGAAGTAGGATGGAAATAACTGTTCCCTGTAAAAGGGGGGATAGGCTAATCCCCCCCCCACCTCTGCTTGTGACCACCTGTCCCTGTCCTAGCTTTCTGAGAATGCGGGCCAAATACCAGACTTTCGCACCCTGCTGTTCAGACCTGTCGTTAAAATAACAGGAGCTCTCTCCAGGCTAAATTTATCTTGCCCCTCTAACCTGCTATCCTTAACTTGTTCTTCCCAGTCACTATTGTCTAATATGAAAGGCCTGGTAATTACGGGGAAACTTGTTTTTTTCCTGACTACTCCTAGAATTATCACAACTTCCTAGAAGCAGCAGTATGAAGAGGCAAAGGTCTTGGCTCTTAGTTAACTGAAAAGCACTGAGGTCTAGTGTAGTGCAGAAGCCAGGAAGTTGGGTCTGGATGTGAAATAAAGCAGAGATTCTACTGTATTCTACCTTCATTGGGCTGTGTTTGAAGTACTCTGTCCAGTTCTGGGAGCCCCATTTTCAGAAAGCAATCGAGATGCTGAAGCAAGTCCAGAGAAGGGCAACCAAGATTGTGAGAGGTCTAGACAATTCTTATGAGGAATGGATGAAAGAGCTCCTTATGTTCCATCTGCAGAAGTTCGTGGGGAGATGTGATGGAAGTCACAGTTATCTGAAAGGCTGAAATGCTGAAGATAGAGCACACAGGTTCTTTGGTGCTCTGGAAGGCAGGACTAATACCAATGGGTGGAAATTGTAGGAAAGCTTGGAGAAGACCTTCCTTGACGTTCAAGAGCTCACATCCACTTCTGACTACTTGGAGTAAATTAGATTTTTGTGTATGTGTTTTGATTTCAAGCAGAGTCAAATTTGCAAATTTAATGAAAGCAAGTTCTCATGAAATGCAAAATTGAATTCAGAGATTCTGTAATGCAACAGCCATCACCAATTGATTAGATTGGCACGTTCCAAAAGCACTGCTCAGTTTGCATCTAACTGACACTTGACTGATTTCTGACTTCTGAGTGGGGAGTAGAACCTGGATCCCCAGTCTAACAGTCTAACCACTACACTACACTGGTCCTCAAAGAAACCTGTAACTGCCCATGATCAGTTATTGATAAGTACCGTTGCAATTGGATCAGCCAAATCAGACTTGGGTCATGGGGGAAGAAGGTAGGTCAGGTTTCTACATTCATGATATCTACCTTCTTTGATATATACACAGGCACCTCCTCCCATTAACATGACAAATTCATACTAGAGTACCCCCAATTGCATCTATATCACCCACACACCCACTTGTATTCATTAATTATTATTATTCAAGTTGTAGCCCATTTTTCCTTTTTTGAGGAATGCAAGGCAGCTTACAAGAGTCTCCTTTTTTTTTACCCTCACAACAACAACCCTGTGAGGTAGGTTAGGCTGACAGTCTGTTTCTGGCCCAAAGTCACCCAGCGAGCTTCATGACTGAGTGGAAACTGGAACTTGAATCTTCAGAGCCCCAAACCACCACTCTCACCACCACATCACACTGGCTGTCTTATAGAGAAAACAATTCCCCAAATAATAAATAAATTCAAGAAAGTGGCTTTAAATGTTGCATTTTAAATTCTACTGTAAGTTGCCTTGAGTTTTTTTTTTTTTAAACAAAGCCTTCTAAGGAATTTTAACGAGAAAAAGAGGAAGGTTTCATCATAGGGAACACAATTAGCTCCAAAGAAAAGAATCGGGCTACTGGCTACTATGGTGGTACAGACCCCCACTTCCTTCCCAAAGAGCAAAAGGGATTCCTGGAGCCCTCTCCCTTTCCCCCAGCCTCACTCACCACCACTTTGGAGAGGTCAATAGGGGGCTCCTTGGGTTTCTCTGGTGCTGGTGGCGGCGGCGCTGGTGCTGGTGCCGGTGCTGCGGCTTTTGCTGCTGGGGCCCCTGGCTTTGCTGCAGCTGGTTTAGCTGCGGGCTTGGCAGGTGGGGCTACTGGCCGCTTCACTGGGGCATCCTTCTTGGGAGGCATGTTGCTCTGTGTCTCCTACTGGAAATGAAGCAAAGGGGCATTCAGCGCGTGCAGGCAGGACTCCCAGCTCAGGCTGGCTCTGCCCTGTTGCCGCTTAAATAGCACAGTAGATACAGTGATGTCAGCCCAGGAGGAATCACTGGGTATGGACTGGGAATGCATCTAAAAATGGGAGCACAGTCACCTTCAGTCATGCTAGTTCCTCCCTTAATTCAAGACAGAGAGATCTCAAAGGGCTTTGCTACGGCTAAGCATCCTCTCTGAACAGTCAGGCCTTGGACGTGCCTTCATGGCACCAGGCCAGCCAGCTCGCTCAGCAAATCCTTTGGCCCTCGGCAGCAGTCATACAAGCAAACAGAAGGCAAATGGGGGAGGGATTCTTCTGTTAACGCTGCAGCCAGGCCGGATTAACTGTTATTCTAAGTAACCTATAGAGCAGGGTCCAATCTAAGTTGGGGGCCTACCATGGTATAATTATCTGGGACTTTCTCTAATGCCTACTGTGCGAACTTACACTGGGTTTTTTTTCCTTCTGATTCTTGCCAAAATGTGGGAATTGCTCCCTTATCAGAAAATAGAGAGGAGAAACAGTGGGAACATTTTAGGATCCTTGAACTCTGACTAACCCAATGAACCTGATGCTTTGAGTTCTGTTGTAGATTCAGGGACAATACTGAGGAGAGGAGGGCTGAGGTCAGTGGAAATGATTTGGAGATATCCTAGCCAGGATACATAAAGATTATCTTACATGAACTAGTGGCATCATGGTTCTTTGGATCTTGGTTTGTGTGTGTGTGTGGCAAAGGCTGCATTTCATTATGTCTCCTTCTGTGTGCAGATATTAGAAACATTGCAGAAGTGAGCCAGACTTGAGAAAATGGTTCAGTATAGATCCTTTTCCCTGAGCCCTTTACGCTGTTATGGTGTTGGAACACTTCAGCTTGGAAGATTTAGGGGGTAAAGATGGAAAGAGAGAGTGGCTAAACCAAAAAGGTATCCCTCCAAAGCGAGGAATTGGCATTAAAATGGCTATCGCAATTCTGCAGAAGCAAGTGTGAACTGATGCAAGCTAGGGCAAAAACATTCTAACCACTGATCATATCTGAACTGGTAGTGTTTGATCAAGAAAGAGATCCTGAGGATGTGTGGCTACTCAATGAACATGTCAATCCACTGTGTGGTTACTGAGAAAAGGAAAATTCTGTGTTGGGGATAATTAGAAAAGGAATGAAAACTAAAACTGCCAGGATCATAATGGCCTTATACAAACCCGTGATGCAAGCAGCCTTGGGATATTGTGTACAGTTCTGGTCATTCCACATCAAAAAGGATACTGTAGACCTGAAAATATTGCCGAAAATGGCAACAGAAGGAACATCTTATGACCCCTCGATAGCATCTGCTGGGCTGTAGAACATTTTGGATTCCTGGGAATTGGCAATCTGGTCCCCCTGCCCCTCCTTACCAGTGTGGAAGGAATCATGTGTGTTGTTCTTTGAGACTGGAAAGCAAGCTTGGAGACGGGTAAAAGGGGGTATTTTGGTGGGTAGGGAGGGGGAGGAGGCTGGAGAGACCAAGACATCTCCAAGTCTGCCCCTCCCTCTTTGAAATGCTCCAGCTAAACAGGCAAAAAAGGTGTCCAAATTTTTTTAATATTATTGTGAATTTTACTAAATAAATAAAGGACAGGGACTTAGAACAGCTGCAAATTGCCCCCACTGCTCCTCCTCCTCTGCATAGGATGGGGATTGCAAACATAGAATTGCTCCCTAAGATGATCAAGGGGCTGGAACTGCTCCATTATGAGGAAAGGCTACAACATCAGGGGACTTTAGTATAGAAAAAGGCAAGTAAAAAGAGATCCAATGGAGGTATATAAAAGTGTGCGTGGTATGGAGAAAGTGTTTAGAGGAAAGTGTTTCTGTCTCTTACTACTAGGACTGCCTCAGAATATCAGAACTTCTTTTATATTTTATATTTTTTATTTATTTTATATTGTTAATTTTAATTTTATATTGTTAATTTTAATTTTATATTGTTATTTTTGTATTTTATTGTATTTTATTGTGTTGTAAGCCGCCCAGAGGCTTCAGCAAGGGGCAGCATAGAAATGTTCTAATAATAATAATAACAATAATAATAATAATAACTTTTAGTTATTAGTTATAATAATAGTTATTATAATATTAGAAAGACTTCATAGTGTGCCTTTACTATGAATTATTTACTTATTTTCAACTTACTAGGCCAAATGATCTCTCTAAGTAACTTACAAAAAGAGATCAAAATATGTAATCGCAATTACAAGAAATCATCACTTAAAATGTTTGAAATGCTTTAAAACATTGGAAGCATACTAATGAATACTGATGGACTTCCCTACCACAAGATGCAGTAATGTCATCAGCTTGGTTAGCACAAAGCAAGAATGAGACAAATTGATACAGGATGAGGCTCTTAGCCGTGATGATGGCTGTTTATGACCTCTACATGCAGAGGCACCGTGCCTCTGTTGACAGGGAAATGGGCAGGAGGGTGCATTGCACTCTTATCTGATTTATGGGTGCTGATTGGCTAGCATGGGAGCTGAATGCTGGGCTAAAGAGATGTTTAGTCTGATCCAGCACAGCAATTCTTATGCATCAATATTAATACTCCTTTTCTTCTGTTCAGAAGCAAAGCAATCTAGCTCTGATTTGGCTTTCTGTTTCACGGGGACTATATAACTGGAAGTGGGAATTCTGCACAGCAGGAAATCATGGGAACTGCTCTATCCTATGTTTATTATGATTATGCATTATATTCTGTACCATCCAGTAGCTGAAGCTCTCTTGGCAACAACAGATAAAACAGAATAAGAATGCAATGAAAATACACTACAGTAAAAAAATAAAAATGCAACATTAAAAATCAAATTTGAACCAAGCTACAAAAAAGCCAGCTTACTCAGACTGTCACAAGACCTGTTAGGCAGTTGACCATGACCCAGTATAATACACAAATAATTAAATGCCCTTTAATAGAGAACAGTTTTACGCTGGTTCGGAAAATATATCAGAGTTAGTGCCGGGCAGGCCTCAATGGAAAGCGTGCTCACCCCGTTGTGCCCTGCCCTGGTAAGAGGCAAGCACAGAAGGTCACATGATTCTGTCCTGCAGCTTCTATTTTATTAGTTGTCAGATGATAAGCTAGTCTTTCTGCATTTGAGCCTCAAGACATTTGTTGACTTCCATCAAGTGCTTCAGAGTGGCCCCCTGTGACCATTTTTCTTTTCTTTACCCTAAGCATCAATATGGAGAAGAAAAGAAATGGGGGTGTTGTCTCAAATTTGTTTCCCAGCATCAGACCGTCGCTCTCTCATCACCACGCTTTTGTATATGAGAAACAGCAGCACACACCAGAATTTTCCAGAAGGACTATTTATTGTAATGTACCGAAACAAAGCGGTCTTGCAAACGAAGGGTCTGAAACAACCGAGCAAAGATTTTGCTGCGGATGGCATGGACAGCTCCAGAAGATGCTCAAGGCTCACATGGTGAGCTAGGCACAGGGTGCTGTGGCCCTTATGGTACTGTTAAGGGTAGGTTGGCTGGGCACAGGATGCCATGAAAGGCGAAAGAGCAGGCTGCCATTTCAAAAACAATTCACCTCAGCTTAATGTTCCATTCTAATCATTTTGGTCTGTGCATATTGCTGGTGGTCAGGGGTGTCACATTCCTCTCCCAGAAGTGGTTGCCATGAGATGCAAAGGCACAGGTGCAGCCATTATGGGAGCTCAGTGAAAATCCTCAACTAACATTAGGGTGGTGGTGGTGGTGGTGGTGGTGGTGATTATTATTATTATTATTATTATTATTATTATTATTATTATTATGTCTCCTTTAAAATTCCACACAGCAAAGTCTAGTTTGTTTTTCCTCCAGGACTGTAGTAGTAAGTTCAGCTTAGGAAAAAGATTTTTCAGCTGTAATTCCACAAGAGCCTAGAAACTTATGGAATGCGCTCCCCAGAGAGGTCCGCCTGGCGCCGTCATTATTTGTTTTTTGGCGCCAGGCGAAGACCTTTTTATTTAAGCAGCATTTTAAATGTTAATATTATTAAATTTTATCTGGCCAGGGTGGCTTATTTTATGTTGTGTGTGTATATATACATACATATATATATTAAATTATTATTCTAATGTGTATATTTTAATTTATGTGGTTTTAATTTATTGTTGTAAGCCGCCCCGAGGCTTTGGCAAATGGGGCGGCAGAAAAATGTTTTAATAAATAAATAAATAAAATAAAAATACAGAATGTTGTGCTGGTTTTAGAATTCAGCTTCCTCAGAATCTGAATTAATTTTAATAACGCAAGTTTCTAGCCCTTACGTCTGTGGCCATGTTTGCTTCTGATTTTTCAGAGCACTTTTCCTTCTTTTCTTTTCTTTGAACAGAGGAAATGTTTTATTATTTTTCAGTTCTGTTTCTACTCTTGTGCTAGTTCTATTTTCTTACAGCCCAGTTCCATCTAGAGGTTATGCAGCAGAAAAGGAAAGTAGATATCAATTAACAGCTTCATGTAGAAAAGCTCTTATAATACAAGATAACTACAGGTAAACCACTTTTCTGCATAAGGCTGTTAACTGTTGTATATATCTGCAGTTGTACTGAAGCCCTGCACTCAGAGCACTTCCTTTTAAGGCTTTTTCACTGTATAAGCTCTAATGTAGCTGAGATCCAGTGCACATATGCACAAGGAGAAACTGCTATTTTCTTGGCTCTAAAATAATACCTCATGGCCTTGCCCCTAAAGGGTGTGTATGTGTGGCAGGAAAGTGCTCTGAAAAAACAGAAGCAAAACTGGAGGGTCACAAGCTCATCTAAAGAGCCTGTAAGCAATTGTGGGTAAGGAATCTTCAGCACACAATGAATGCCATATGTAGAAAAGGTCTGGAGCGTCAGTGCCCAGCACAGCATTTCCTGTTGTAACTACTAAAACCTTTTGTTTTTGTTTAAAAAAATAGTAAATATTACAAAAAATAAATGGATCAAATGTGCACAATGTATTGTTTGTATAATGTATAGAGGTAATGGAATTCAGTTTTCCCTGGTGCAGAAACAGAAATAATAGTACTAATTATTATCGTTATTTAACATAGAGAACACTTATTGCTGACTATTAGCTGCTCCTGACATATTTTACATAGGATAAACTCATATTTAGGCAGCTTAATGCAATGGTGACTAACAGGGTTAGCCAGACTTTCCTAAATGAATTCCCTCCAGGCGAATTTGATTACAACTCCCAGCCAGTATGGCCAATTCCCATGTTGGATGGGAATATGGGTGTTACAGTCCAACACATCTAGAGGATTCCTACCAAATTGGAAAAGGCTGTAAGTCCCTGGTTCAAATCTCATCTCACCCATTAATTTCCTATTTGATCTTAGGCAAGGCAGTCTCCACTCATTCTGCTGCTCATCCACAAGATGGGGGTCATTGCACTGGCCCATCTTACATATCTTTTGTCAGGAATACTGAACATGAGTATGAGCTCTGAACACTTGAGATGAACTATTTGTTGTTAAATGCTATCTGGAAGAAAAATGCAGTCAAGGAACCTGGCTCTACTCTGTTGCCAAAACGCATACTTTCAACGATTCCAGATGTAGCTTTGCCGTTGACATATATGCATTGGTTCCTCACCCAGATTTCTTTGCAGCTACTTGGTAACCAGCTCGAAAATAGTTCTAGCTAAATCAAGCAAGTAAATACGTACCTGCTAAGAACAGACCACAAGGTGATTCTGAGAATGGCAGTGAAACACTGCAGATCAGATACCAGGAGATACCAGGTCCAGACACATTATCCTCTGGCTCAAACTAACAAAAGAGAGGAGGAGTGACCAGGCAGCTGAGAACCACAAGGCAAGCCTGCTGCCTCGGAGTTAAGGAGGGTTTGATTGATGGTTCCAGTTGTCCGGCCAGGATTACCTCCCTTGCATTCCAGGCTATGCTGTGTTACAACTTTATTAAAGGAGGGGAGTGTAGCTGACATTTCTCATTCTCTCTCCTTCCAAGTAGATCTGTGGGTGTGGTGGTGGTTGTGGTGATATAGTACCACTATCAAGTAGTGACTGGTGTACTTTGAAAAACCTCTGTGGCCTTAGCCAGTAACGGTGTAACATACCCTATTCTTTCTGATACGCAGTTCAGCTGCTGAACTGACAGCACCCCCCCAGAGTCCTGTCTTCTTGGGAGTGAGGACTCCTATGAAGGACAATTCTGGAAATTCACATCTGTTCAGGCAAGAAAAAATCCTCTCTTCCTCAGATGGCTGCATCTTGTTTCAGGATTTGGGTGCCTCTTAGGCAAGGCATTCGCTGCAGGTCCCTTCATCCAAGAAGAGGCTGTTCTCATGTTGCCTACGACCATCATCGGTGCTCCATACAAAATTGAGAAGGGTGATGCTGCTGTTTGTGTCATCAGGGAACTTTTGCCAATCCTGGGAACCCAGCAAATGCCTGACCTGGCCTTGAGATCTAGCAGGAAACACAATTTCTATGTACATTTCTGGATCCCAAAGCAGAAGGAAAGTTTAAAGGTTCTGCCAGATTTGAGAGGTGTCATTTAGATCAGGAATCAGGATAGGTGAAGCTCCCTGAATGCATGCTGCAAAATTTCTTTTTATTCAGCTTCTTTCCATTACTGGGCTTCTCATTACTCACCTGGGTTCTATTAGGCAGAGAATGGCTAATAATCAGATAGCATTGCTCAGCTCTCATCTTTTTCTCCTCATGGGATTTTCTGCAGCAAGAACAATGATGGCAAGAGCAGCAGCAAAACATGGGAGGGCCCTGGGTGGAAAATTATAATACCTGGACCAGGTAAGCAGAGGGGTGGCATGATAAACACCCCAACCGGAAGCATGCATTGTTGATTGCTTCAGGAACTGTACACACAAGCAGTCTTCATGCTAATCTGATATATGTAGTGAATCCCTTACATGTGCGTACTCGCTCACTCACTTGCCAAGCACCAACAGCACCTGGTCATCTTATCTGGCGGTTGAAATTCACATTGACACAGGACTTTGGAACCTTCTTAAATCAGATTTTTTTTTTTTTTTTTTTTTTTTTGCTAAGGTTACCAAGTAGAGGTGACTGGAGGAGCTCAGGGTCAGCCAAGTATCTCAAGAGTGGGAAAACAGAGGAGCCTCCAGGATATGGATGGAGCCTGGCTAGTTGTGTTGGGATGTCAGTTATGCCAGGGATGTTGATCTTCAGGGTAGCCATAGAAAGGGCTGTTTATTCATTCTGGCAAGGTGCTTTCTGGAAGGGCATTATATATCTCTTTAAAGGGCAAACCTCCTTTCTTACAGAACAGGAATTAAATCACCTGCTTTGACTTCATGCCAGCAGAAAAGAATGTACGTATTGTTATGCACATTAGAGGGTCTGTAGCAATCTGAGCTAGCCAAGGCACAGACATACTGTTCCCATACAGAAACTGCAGCGTACTATTTTAAACTGTATCAAATGTATTTTTAAAAAAATTACAGATAGTTCTCCAGATGGAGGAAGGTGGGGAAAAGAATTCTGATTATCCTTTTAGAGACCAACGCAAGTAACATAGTAAAATTGGTTTAGTAACAAGTTTCTTTGGTTATAAAACTGAGATAGAAGCATAGTTGAAATTTAGCCTGGAGCCACTGGGCTGCATCCGACTACTTGGATGTGTACCGCATGTTCTTTTCAAAGAATGGCAAAAATGGCTCCAGAACAGAGTATGCAGTTGCTAATAAAAATGCTAGCACTATGAATCGATCTCATATAGCCAGTACTTTCATTAAACAAAAATGGTATTTAAAAAAATGTCAAACAGGGTACTCAGGTTTTGGGATGGGCAACAGAAATGGCAACTTTTTGCTGCCTAAGATAAACCCATGTGCTTTCATGCACAAGCTGTCATCTAATTCCAGGCCATCCTAGAAAAGGCATCTAGTTTTTAGAGGCCCACTGAAACAAATTTTGGCCCCTTTCCATCACAGTGGATCATTATAAGAAGTGGTGCTTGAGGATTATCATTTTCCTTTTGCCCTTCATCCTGTTTTTCTTATGCTGTTTTCATTAGTCTGAAAGCCACTTCAGGATCCTTTCTGGAGGAAGGTTATAAAGCCTAACAGAACATCTTCTCTGGGAGCTACCACCCACAACAGCGTGAGAGGGGACCACTGGGGGAAAAGCCTCCTTTGTAGCACCCCCACTGAAATGCTCTTCCCAGGGAGATCTATCTAGTGTCTTTATTGTATACATTGGGATGCCAGGTCAAAAACAAGCATTTAATCTTTAATTGCTACATACGAATTTTACTGAAAGATTGATGTCTATGTACACATTGCAGCTGCAGTGCTTTTGTATGATCCCCACAACCATCAGCTTCTGAATAACTGGAAGTCTATACAGACGTTGATCTGGGTCCCTGCACCCCCTTTATTAAAAAAAGAACAAAGTACAAGGAAGGATAAAATATTCTACCTGAGATGGTGCCACGTGCATGTTGGGCACAGACACCCTAAAGCAGTTATGGCCACTGACAGGGAAGGTGTCACAAACCTGCCTTATATTTTAAGCAGGCTCTCTACCCAGCCAGGTCATAGCAGAAGCTGTATGAAGTGCTTCTGGGGCAGGAGGCAACCCAGCAAGGGAAGAAGTTCGTATACTGGGGACCTGTGCAGACCCCAGCTTTGTTTGCACATATTCAGGAGATCCTAGGGCACCTCCCCAGAGGGTAGCACATGGTTTGGCCTTACTGCAGATCATTCCATCAGTCCCCTTTTTTTGAGTCTTATTGTCCAAAGGAGCGACTACATGCTCCACCTGAAAGGTTGCTTTGAGCACTGCAATTGCAGTACCTCAAGCAGGGTGTATACTTGCTTTCCCATCAAGTTTTGGTGGTGGTGGTGGTGGTGGTGGTGGTGTAAATAAAACCTAAAGCAACGTCATTTTCTTCCTCTCTTTATTTGGTACAACATGTTGCCGTGGCTGCTACAAGAGGCGCAAGTGCCAGAAACACGGTAAAGCCTGCCTGAGGAAAAGCACTAGTGGAGCTCTGATTTGGCATGGAAGGCAGCACGGGACTGGGTTCCCTACAGGCACACTTGGCTCCCTCTGTCGACAGACTCTTGGGAGCACAGCCAGATTCTACAAGGAGGTGGCTCTGCTTGTCAAGTACATTCGCCATGGTCATACATGTAGAAATATGCTGTTAAAAAAAAAACCTTCATAAGAATGGTTTTGGTGGCTTCAGAAGTGCTATCACATGTATGTGTGCATATGTGTGACTGAGAGACAGAACAAAAAAGGACAGGGCTGAGAAGCAGTTCCCATATTGCAAGATGTGTGTGTGCGGGGGGGGGGGGGGAGGAGAGGGGATTGCTGGACAGTGGAACTGCAGTGAGCACAGCAAAGAAATGCTCTTGCTCTATATTTTGGGAAGGCTTCAAGCATGTCCCGACTCTGGCACAAAAATCCTGCCCACCTGCTCCAGATTACAAGGTCTGGAAAGGCAGAAGAAATCTACAGTCACTATGAGGCATCTAACAGGATTTAACTTCCTGAGGGCTTATCCGCATGATTATTTTTTAAATCACTAAAGCAGTATGATTCTTTCTCATGGCAACACTGCAGACAACAAGCCTCCACAAAGACAAAGCCAGTGCAGCTGCCAGAAAATACCATCAGGGGAAGTCCATGCTGCCCACGTCTTTGGGAGGCACCCCCATCAAGCGCAGCACAGGGAAGAGCAGCTTGGGGAAGAGAGAAAGGCAAAAAATGGAGCCCTTGCCATTGGGCTCTATTTTAAAAGCACGGAGCCCCTGATGCCCAAAATGGCACAGCACTGCAGATTTACAAGCAGTGCTTTATCAGTCTGTCAAGGGTGTTATTTTAATGTATGGAGAAGCCCCAGAAGGTCAGCTTTAAAAGTTTTTTATCATAGCAAAGAACACCTTAAAACCATTTCTACAGTGTAAGTCTGGAGGTCTGTGTGGGGAGGCTTCTGGCCTTATCTAACTAGGCAACCTTTGGCCCCTTGAAAGATCTTCTCTCCCAAAACCTTCAAGTCTATCACTCCCCACAGCTTGCAAAATAGATTCAAAGTCAGTTAAAATGCAAATATTGCAAGTTACTCTGTATACAGGTAGATAAATTCTGCATATCTGTAAATCTGATGTGGAGCGTGGAATTGGTGTTTCCTTGCTACAGAATGCGCACGCACAGCCGTAGAACTTGGTGCAGGAGTGTGAGGTGTAGGAGGGTCCTGTTCCATGCACCAGTTCCCTGACAGACGTGCAAGAAGGCACCAAGCAACATTCATCTTTTTTAAAAGCAACAAAGGTGGCACAAATGAAAGATATTGCAAGAGGGCAGGCTTCCCATTTGGATTAGCAGCACAACAAGCTAGAACAAGGAGCCAAAATCAGGCAAAAACAGGTAATGTGAGGGGATCTGGAAGTGCTGCCAGGAGAATGGGTTTGCAAACTCTTGGAGTACAGGCAATATTCCACTAGAGGCATCAGCTACATGCGCAGAGATCAGAGCCATGGATTTCCCAGTAGAGGGGTGGGGGAATAAGAATAAATGTTGTGACTAAAAACTGCTTGGCCACTGCACCCTCCCCACTTATGCTTTTAAATTCTTTTGTTTAAAATGGCAAAATGCCACTCTAGAAACTTATCAACGAGAGAACTGGGACAGAATCTCAACCAATTTCCCACCTGAATCAGGAGATACATAATGTTCCCTTTCCAGATAGAAGTTGGTAGAAGGCCCACTTTGGGATGCCAGTGACCCTCTTCAGGTGTGGAACCCTTTGTTCCAAAGGAGGTTATTGGCCCACTGTTACTATGAGGAAAGTATTTGGTCCCTCCAGGTTGGTCTTCTTGTACCCTTCCAGCTAGCACCCTATCCTAGGCTCAGTTTACTCCCAGGCCTTTTTGCTTCTTTTCCAGTGGCTGCTGAAAGCATCAGCTCACAGCATCTGCAAGCTTGTGAGGAACTTCATCCCAAGCAGAAGGATGAAAAAGGCCCACTTCTTTGGTCAATAAAAAGGCAGCATGCGGTTTGCAGTGCTGAGAGAAGCATACAGGGTGAATGCAGGATGTGAATCATCACCCCATCTCCTCCAAAGCCCACCCAGGAGTCACTTCTCTAACGTTATCAGCTTCACATTGAAAAAGAAGCTTCTAAGAACACAACACTATGACTGCTGAAAAACAAAACACTGAAAGCCCATCCAGCAGGGGGTGAGCTTGGAATCCTGCGGTGAAGGGTGGCGGCAGCAGTATTCATGCCAGCTCTTCAACTCCCTGGATGGGGATATTGCGAGAAAGGAGGTGCTGTGGAGGCTAGGAGCTGGTTCTGTCATCTTTTAAATCGTACCTGCAAGATAAGGAGAACACTTTCAGGCCTTTGGGACATAAAAACAAGCTAAAAGCAATTGAACCCACACAATGAGGTGGGACCTCACTTCCAGTGGGCGTGCATGGGGTATTCAGGCACATGGATTGTGATGCAACTGATATCAGTTGGTTCTAACTGCAGAATTAATGTTTAAGGCCGATTCTTTAAAACAATTTAAACCTTATTATTTGTATATTTGGCTGGTCTGCTGTAAGTTGCTTTGAGACTAGTGTGGAGAATGCAGCTCTACATCTGATGAACTCGTAAGCGGGCACATCTAGCCTGCACTATGGATTCAAAAGTTTTAACGAAAAGGAGTAGACTTCAGTAGGCTAGATGAGCAAGTGAGAAAAGAGGAATATTATAGTTCCAGGATTCAAGAACTTCATATTTCCTGGGTCAGTAAAAGCACCTTACAGTTCTTTATTCGACATAGTAAGGAATAGAAATAAAGTACAACTACAAGGTGACACTGTGCTACAGCAGGAATCCTTAAAACATGGAAAGTTTCATGCCACTCACAGATATTACTTGACTTTTCACAATCTTCATGACATTATGTGAAATGCCTACGAACTACTGTGAGTGAGGAAGGACAAGCACAGAATAAATGCCTTGCGTAGAGAAGAGCTTACTGTGATCTTCCTGGATGTGAGCTTATATGAGTTTATCTACAGCATTCGTTGTGGAAGAAACCCTGCTATTGCCCCTCTCCTTGGGAGGGACTTTCTCATCACAAGTCTACATAATTTCCCTAACTTTCCCTAAATTAAGACTAGCCCTGTGCCCTGGGTTTTTGCAAAACAGGGTATGCTGTGGAAAAAATACCTCTGCCCCCAGCCCAGAGCCCAAGGCATGCTCTGCTGGTTTGCACTTTCTGCAGTCTGCACACAGAGGCAGAGAAGTGGCCCAGGCTCGGCTGCTGACCCAGCGGCCCTCCCTTTTCTCTGTACTCTTGTGCTGCCTGTACTCACCACTGTGCTGCCCCCTGGGTCAGGTCCTTCTGGGAGAGGTCGATGTGCACCTAGGAGGCAAGAACACAGATCAGCTGGTCATGTACCTGCTCCTCTCCAACAGGGAACCCACTGCTAAACGCTTGGCCCATTACCTTTCCAATTGGCTCCCCTCGGGACATGAAAGAGACACTGTTTTTGATGTAGGCCTCCAGCTTCCTTCGTTGGGCCTCTTCAAGTGATAGATCCCATTCAAACCTGTTGCAATTTAATTGCATTGATCTAATTATTCTTTTGTTTACAATATGCCTACTTTTGTTCAAAGAAAAAACAACAACAACAACAACACCATCATCAAGAACAATGCAGTATTTTGCACTGGGATCTCATATAAATGAAGAGTGGCATAGAAATATCATTTGTGTTAAGGGAACCTATAACAATTTTTATCTTTTTGCAACCAGAATAGTGACCTCAAGGTAAAGTGTGTATTTCCCCTCATTGTATTCATCCAAGTTTCTGTTTGGAACATGGAAGTTAATTATAGCAGTGATTCTAAGTGTGGAAACAGGGACTCGCCGCTATTTTGGAATGAATTCACCCAATAGAAAAGGATCTGGTCAGGTGCATAGGCCATCTTCTTCAATGTTGGAGAAATCTGAGTAAATAGTGAGCCCTTATTTTGAAGACCAAACCTGGAACTAGTCATTCAGCTCATCTTGGTGGCAGCTCTAATTCTCCAGCGTTGCTCAGTCCCGATGGTGGCCCTTTCAGACACCCACCACCCACTTACAATTGCAACAGTCGCCTTGCTTACTTTTCGTTGAACTCAGGGTTAAGTGTTTTCTTCCGTACGGTCGTCTTTCTCTTGGTGACCCGGGATTTGTCAGGAAGTAGAATGAGGGAGACATAGGGGTCAGGAGTATCCTTGGCACTTGACTTCAGGTTCCTGGAAGAAGTGCGAAGGACTGGTTGGTTAGAGAGGACAGTAAAATGCAGTGCTGCCAAATAAACAGGAAGGAGGCATTCTAAGATGAGAGAGGCAAAAGAAGATTAAACTGTGGACATGTTGAGAGGCAATATAAACTGTCCAGGTCTTCCAAGTGACAATGGCTCACTAATGAAACAAGCCCCTTCCTTCCACACCTCTTAGCACATGCTATTTTGTCATACTTCACTTTTTTAGCCTGGACATCTTTAGAAGCTGTTTGTTGCCACATTGCACCACTTAAGCGGAGGAGCACGCCTGTAGCCCTTTTAGCAGCTCTGCCTCACTATCTGGGGTTCAGAACGACTGGAAATGTGAGTGTCAAGGGTAAAGTCTGGAAAATGCTCTGGAAGGTTAACTTACTGCAGGGGCCACATTCCGGGGTGAGTGGGCCAAAACAACCAACAGATTCTGCTTAGAGCTCTCAAGCTTTCAGGATAGGGAAAAAGCTGCACCAAAGTCAGGGCACCACCAGGGGACTGGTAGTTGGGGGAACGGTGGAGGCAGGGGAAGAAGTGTGGCCTTCTGCAGAGACCCACAGGGTGGGCCTGGGACTTCAAGTGGGCTGGATCCGGCACCTGGGCTTGAGGTACTCTGATTTACTGTATTTTGTACTGCTCACAGGCAGCCTGCTGGTAGAAGGCAAAAAGAGGATGTATTACTAGCAGGCCTTAAGAGAGCCATTTTGGCTAATGGGCCAGGGTAGAAATCTAACAAATAAATAATGAATACCCTCTTGCACTGGAAGGAAAAGACTGCAGCAACGTGGCTGAGGCTTGTCCCATCTCCAAACATGAAAACACAGGCAGCCCTTCTCGGGGTGCCTGTCAAAGCGGTCCCCCTTCCTGTCCTTTCTTTCAAATCATCCTTCCTCCACCCTAGGCCATTACCTGCAGGCATGTACGATGACAATAAGTCTGCGCGCATCCATGTTGTACCAGACGGTGAGGTGCAGCTGGCCCAGAGGCGAGTCTGACAGCTCCAAATTACTGAAATGCAGAATGATGCGAAAGATGAGGAAATGAGGGCAATGTGCAAGGCTGGGATCAGGAGAGGGTGAGATATTTTTAGATATCTTTATTTGTAGCGCGTGCAACTGGAGGAAGGAGATGTGGTGGAATAAGGAATATTCAGAATAGCACAGAGATGGAACGGAAGGTGCTGCTTTCAAGAGCTCAATGCATTAAAGATAAGATTAAACGTTTCCCATGTTGTGGCCACAGATGCAAAGGGAATCTAATGTGGTGCATTCACTGTGGCGGCAGAATGCATTAGCAATGAGATGTATGCCAGGTAACAGTCGCCACCTGTGCAAAACAGCAATGAGGGTGGCTGGAAAGTAGACTTGCTGGCGTTCCCAGAGCCCAGATGATCGCTGTGCTGCAAGACGTGCTGCTCATCTCGTAAAGTATTAAATATATTACGTACATAAACAGCAAGCGTTGTCTGTCGCTTTCTGGCAAAAAGCTCCAAGACCACTCAACCGATCTGCATCAACAAGATGTTATTCAAAAGCCCACAGTGTACTGACTTCCATTCCATAGCCAGACCCTGGTCCTCAGAGATGAGATTCTAGCTCCCCTCCCTTCTAATCGGCTCCCTGACTGTAGGCTGGCAAAGCCCACTGTGATGTCAGAGAATCCAGGCCAGCAGCAGCCACCAAGCTTGTCTCGAGTGTTAATGCCACTCCTGCCAACACAAGGCCACTGGGACATCAGGGCAGATCAAGAGACACGGGCCTGGCACAGAGGACAGCACAGAGCACTTCAAGATGAGGCGGACGCCGGGAGAGACGGACTGTCAGAACAGGAGTTTGATGACCCTCAGTCTATGGTACCGATGTTAATATTACATCGATGTTTAACATGTACAAAATGACACTGGTGAGGAGCCGTGTCTCTCAGCACCATTCACACCAGAAGAACCAGGTCGCCATCACCTTTGGTGGCCGACACGTTCATGCATTTTCGACAGTACAGCGTAAACATGATGGCTGCTTTATCTGAGGGAAGAAGAGGGTTTCCTCAGATATGAAACACTGGACTTGAAATGCTCTGAAGAAGTGGAATCTCTATAACAGAGGGCCTATGTTAAAGAGGGAGGTGTTGACGGCGCAAGAATGAGACAGTGTAGGAAAGCCTGCTATTTGGGGATCAAATCTGCCTGCATTAGGTTTCACTTTCTGTCCTGGGACCTTCCGTACCTGTTGGCATGTGATACACGCTGACGCAGCTCTTGTGAGGAACCGGTCTCTCCATCCTCTCTGATATACAGTTCTGTCTCAGACCCTCTCTGGGAACTCTCATCATTCTCGTCTGCTGCCATACTGTGAAAAGCTTCCACTCCAGAGTGTTGAGAGATGAGGAGCTGCAGGACAGGGTGAGGCAGTCAGACCGTGTGACATTAACCCTGAATGGCTCTTTTGCACAACTCCACTTACCCCAAGCTGCACTCGCATCAGGAGCTGGGAGGTGGTACCAGAGTTGCTGAGCTGAAACCAGCGGTCAAGGACGAGTCCCTCTGCCTCCAGCAGCTGCGAAAGGGGAAGGGACAATGCTCCCAGCACATGCCCATCATCTTTCACCTACAGGAATAACAAATCAACACTTCACAGATGAAATGGGAAGAGGGTATTAAGGTCCCAAGAAATGGGCCTAAGAACAATATCGCTCTTGCCCTGCAATTTGTCAAGCCAGGGATGAGCAACCTGTGGCCCTTGACCAAAGTTTATGTGGTCCACAGCCTAATTTCTACTGCCCTCTGCTTATGATCGGTTTAGAACTCAGGCAAGAATGAGCCGTCTCTTCCATGGCAGTCCTGTTGCATGGGAAGCAAGAGGGAGAGAAAGAAAGGGGGGGGGGGCAGAGACAGAGACAAAGGAGTGACCCACCCACTTCTGACCATCAACAGAAAAAAATGTTGCCCAGGGCCTGTTTTAAGCTATAAGGGGACAGTCCCCTCATAGTGCAAAGAGTCCTACTGAGGTCACAGTCACCCAGAGCAACTATGGCTTCTGCCATTTGCAGATTAACTCTGAACAGGCCCTCCCCAATATGGAGGACCACCATTTGGCACCCAGTTGACTTGAGAAAAGGCCTGGTGGGGGAGAAGCAGTAAGAGAGGGTCTGGGGGATGAAGGGGGTACACAAATTCTACCTGTAGCTCCAGAGATTCTGCATGGGGCCTCTTGATAAGGAAGGAGAAAGCTTCATCCCATACTGGCTCTACCATTTGAGGGGCGACCTGAAGTCAGAGAAGAGGCCATGACAAAACCCTTCAACATTTGGAAAGGCAGAAGGAAAGAAAATGTCACCGTTCGGAGGTTTAGTTACCACTTTCTGTAGGGTGACATAAGAAACCTGTGCAGAAGATGGCGCTTGAGCAAATGAAAGACATGGTACTGCTAACTCAATTCTGCCAAACGAGGGCAGAGCCAAGAGTGGCCAGGGGATTCCTCTACAGAGGTCTGCCTAGGACAGTAAATTCTTCTCCTTGATCTAAGTCCCCATTGTGCACAGCCAGTTTCTGCTGCAGGCGTGCAAGTGACTTCTTCTCAGTCCCAGAGGGTGGATTTGTCTGAAGAAAATGTGCGGAGTGCATCTCCACAGTGGCATGGCTGCTCAAATGTTGTGTATTTAACACAGAGGTGGAGTTATCAAGGAGCTATATAATGCAATGTGAATAAGGCATTTATTTTCACTTTTTTTGCAGGGGTCATTTCTATTTATAAAGCTATTTACAAAAATTGGCAAAACAAACATCTGTAAGCATCATTTTGGCTGGAAAGGCAGGATAAAAAATTAATCAACCAATGATGTACATTATATAAAGATCTAGTCCTTTTCAGCATTTTTAAAAATTTCAAAAGCCACTCAGTCTTAATTCCTACTCTATCTACTATCCTTCAGTATTTTGGGAGCAGCCCAGATGTGTTTAGTACCTTTCTTGTAAATAAAGAATGAGGATCAATACCATTCAATACTCAACAAACAGTTGGGGACTTAATTGGGTAAGGAAATCTATTTTCCAGCCACAGAGTCATGAAAAGTCCTCACTCTTTAAATTAAGTGCATGCGTTTGTACGTGTACACATTCACTCCTTCTATATCACTGTTCACAAACCTGGCTGCTCCTTTTTACCATTTCATCCCCACTTCACCCGCTTTGCCAGCTATCTGAGGCTGCCTGCCTGCTTCCTGCCCCAAAGGGATGCTTTACCACTCACTGCAAGTCGATCCTTCCTTTCAAGAAGCATGTTCTTCCCCATATGCCATTACCTTGGTCTTATAGGAGACACCATGGACGGAGAGACTGATGTAAGGACTTGGGGGTTTTGAACCCTTCCGCAGCTAGAGGAGAGAGAGAGAATGTCGGAAAGTTTTGTAGGTTTCAACAGGCTGCAATTGAGGCACTCCTGAAGTTGGCTGTTTAAGTATGAATATGGGGTAGTCGTCCGGTCCCTGCTTGCATCATTGTTGCCCTGCACATGTGGAGGATGACCCCCTGAAGAGGAGGGCTTCTTCTATCCAGAGGGGCTCCACACATAATGCAGAACATGGCTGCTCTTGAGTGCATGCAGCTGTGAATGACCACACGTTACTTTTGAGCCTTTATTGCTGCACCCCATCAAAGAGGCACATACATTCAGCGGACACAAAAAGAAAAAAGAGAAAAAGGAAACTGAAACAGCAGCATGTACTCCCATTTCCCCCAGAAATGTAGCACTATATGGAATCTTTATCATATGCTCATGTTCCAAATCAAATGAAGACATATTGACTTTTCAAAACCCTCCTAGTTTGTCTGTTGCACCTGTGCGTGTTGTAAACGTGGATACCAGACTGTGTTCATCAGCAGTGTGCCCCACTGTCTTTCGAAAACTACCGGCATGGCAGTGTCTCACACACCTTTGTGTGCCTCCGCTGCAAATCTTCCCTGGGTCCTTGCTTGTTCCAGACTGAGCAGAGAGCTCTTCTTTATCTTGCCCAAAGATCAGTCAGCAGCCTTACATCTCTGATAGGGGTTTATCTCTCTGTAATAGCCTCTAATGGTATTTCCACTCACCGGCAGGTCAGTTGCCCTGTCAAGGAAGACAGACAGCAGGGCTGAGGACAGTTCCTCACTCTTTGGTGTCTGGATCAAGCTGTTCACCCGCAGTACCTGTGAAAAGGAGCAGTCACGACTATACTTGGGCCTAGAACAAATGGTCTGCCCACCATCAGAGAACACTCCGGAGAACAGACAGTGGGTGGATTTATTAGGTTACTTTCAATGCAACCTTTATCAGATGATCATTTGCTGACCTGCAGTCTTCCTATGATGACTCCGCACAAGATGGTTGTTGTTATCTCTCCAAAAAGAGGCAACTACCAGTGGGAAGATTTCAGGCAATGGTCACATGAACTAGTCATTAAGAGGCTGCTCCAGGCCATCCTGTCTCTGCAGCAGTGAGGATGAGGATTCTGCCTCTCCCTCTGATCGGGTGCACATGCCCTTCTGAAAGCCCACGGTCTGTGGGTGTCTTGTCCCCCCCCCCCCCCCCCCCCGCAGCTCTAATCCCTCAGTCTAGACCTACGGCTTCCAGCTGTCTGAACTCCAGGTCTTTCTTTGATCTGACTGAAAATTTAGTTTCAGTTATGCCTTTATGAAACAGAAGTTAGGATAAGAAATAGCCCGTGCCTTTAAAAAGGCATCACAAAAAGGAAGATGAGAAAATATGAATCCACCCTCAGCATGACATTTTGAGGAATGGCCCAACCCTAGATTGTCAGGATGTCTTGTGTTATTTTTAAAGTTTGTGCAGCATCTACACCAGGGTGGACCACTTGTGGGCCTCCACATGGTTTGACCTGTGTCATCCCCCGACATTGCCTATGCTGACTAGTTTGGTTGGGGGATATAGATCAAAACATCTGGAGGCCACCAGTTGCATGCCTCTGATCTAGATATTTTGGCTGCTTCATAAATCAACAACCTTCTTCCTAAGGGTTGAGATTGGGATTAGGGTTGGGGTAACCTCTCATTACCTGCTCCAGCTCAGCAGCACTGGGTATGGGGGGCAGGCACTCCAGCTTCACATGGAGTCGTCCTGATTTCACATCCTCCAGGGGGAGCCACTGAAACAGGAAGAAGGTGGGGGGAGTAAGAGCAGCAGAGCAGTATCTTCGCTATCCCTGCTCCAGAGCCACTGGTGGATTCCTCTTACCGCATCAACAAACTTGCTGCTTAGCACCTGTCTCAGAGGGATCTTGCACCTGAAGGGTGGGGGTTTGGGGGAAAGAGGTGAGAAAGAAAGGATCCTTCATGAAGCCAAGGGTGTTTGCTCTACCACATGTGCTGTCACAAAAATAAATAACTGGCTGGAGACCACAGGTGGGAGGGTGCTGTTGCCCTCATGGGCTGTTTGTGGGTTTTCCATGGGCAGCTGATTGAACTCTGTGTGAACAGAATGCTGGTCTAGATGGGCCCTGGGCTTGATCCAGCATGGTTCTTCTCTTAGAGGGGACACAACTCCATAGGGCCAAATTCTTGCCCCTCTACTCTACCACAAGGTGGGTCACAAGTCCCTCTAAGTACCAGGAACTACTAACAGCGACAGGAGAATGACAGCGTAAGTTTGTAGCCCAAAAATATTTCCCTGGGGAGAACCCAGATGAATTTCCCACAAGGCCCAGGGTCCTACTCATGGCTACACTGAGTCACTATTTTTTTAAAAAATCTATTTCTATTTACTAAATATCCATCAGGACTGTGTCCAACAATTTAAACAACTCAGAAGGGCAAAGGCCAAATACACAGATGGTATACCATAAAGTGCTTCACAAATCCCTCAACATTCCAGATGTTCTAAATTTAGAGTCATGGTGGAATTTTCCTCCATTCCAGACCATCTCTTGAATCTGGAGACCTGTGGCTGCCCAGGCGGTATCTGGCTTGGCCTGTGACACAGCCCAATTCATCAGAGAGATGGTAGAGATTTCACTATAGGAAGAAGAGTGTTGTGAATCCTGCCTTGCAGCAGAGGCCTGGACCTGGTAGTTTTTGAGTCCTTCTAATTCTGTCCTTTGATTCTTTATATCCAGTCTCCTGATGCCACAAAGTCCTGGGCAAGGATTTTGTAGGTACTGGAAGCTAGAGCAAAGGGCAGCTTAGTTCGAGAGCCACTGATCCTCAAGTCAGCAGGGGCCAAAGCTGAGGCCTTAGCCATGGGGTAGGAGACACTGCAGACGCTTTGCTCCTCAGGAGATATCCCAGCTTCTTTCTCTGAATATTTAGCCTTCCTTCCAAAAATAAAATAAAAACCTGAGATTTTAAAATGCTGGGCAATATTCTATCCAATTGCACTGCAGGAAGTAAAATCTGTTCTCCATGAATGCAAATCACAGAAACAATGGAAGAATAGTTGACACATCAAATGGTCGTTATAATTCAATAAACAACTCACACGGCTTGTGGTTAAGCTTTTCCTGTTTTCACACTGAATTGCACAGCTCCACCACGATAAAGTCTGTGGCTGGGCTGTGAGATTGAGGAAACTATCAGAAAAGAAGGCTGGCTCTGTTTCCACCTCCAACCCAACAGGGTATTCAAGTTACTCACACACCTTCCTCTGCTTCCCACTTAGAGGAAGAAAGGCTAACATTTTTTCTTCTGCCTGCCCCAAACTTACCTTCCAAGGAAATCATCCTTGTCAACATCCTTGTCATATAAGTCAAACTCCACCTCCTGGCCTGGGATGTTATTCACAATTACCTGGAGGATATAAAAAAGTGGATTATTGTACAATGCATCACAGTCTAGCAGCACAGATGAGCCCCAGTGCATCAAGAGTGAAAGAAAAGAGCTGGTGGAGACCCCAGCCTCCTGGGTTCTGTCCAGTCCTCACCACTTTGAGTGGAGAAGGGGCAAAGAAAGGGAGGGCTTTATGTTTTGCTACTGAATTAGAGCAGATCAGCCTTCTCTAAATGAGTGCTGTCGAGTTATGATGGACTCCAGCTCTCATCATACCAGCCACATGGAGTCTGGATTAGATCAACTTGTCAAAAACCCTTTGACAGGTTAAAAAGGTGCCCCCTCCCAATTATTAAGCAAATTTAAATAAAGACTGCTTAACTGTTTTATTTTGTCAATACAGAGGGGTCAAGTTATTACTATTACTATGCTTGTCTTTTTTTTTTCTATACCTCCCGGTAGCTGAAGCTCTCTGGGTGATTTACAACTATGTAAAGTTTGTGTAATTAGGCTCATAAGTAGGTGGGGACTGGTGCTGAGAAAGGATGCTGTAGCATTCTGTTACCCATTCTGTTCTGCTAAGTGAAAGGTTTTCTCCACAGACATCTGCCTTGAATTGTGTGTGTGCGTGCGTGTTAAATTGTTTGTTCCATATTGGGAGAAGGGGCCCTTTGTCCTTACAGAGCTGTTCTCATGCTCTACAGCTTCCCATTCTGGGGCCCTTTAGGAAAACATGGCCCAAACTCTGTCTGATCTGGAAGAGAATGTCTCCCAGGGATTTGTGAATTTCTGTATGTATACAGCTGGAAGCAAAATATTTTGGAACTACTGGGATTAAGCACATGCTCTATACAGAAACAAGATCATCTCTTTGGGTTTTCTGCAAGCTATACTACTGCAGAGGTATTCAGATGCAGGATGTACTGCTAGGAACCTGGCCCAGCATCTGCCTGCACTGCAAGGAAGGCACATTTATTTATTACATTTGTATCCTGCTTTTTCTCCTCTTGTGAGGAACCCAAGGCAGTGCAGGTGATCCTCCTCTGGATTTCTACCCTCATCACAAACCTGTGCAGCAGGCTAGGCGGAGAGTGAGTGGCTGGCCCAGAGCCACCCGGTGAGCTTCATGGCTGGAGCTGGGTCTCCCACCTTGTCACGGCATCAGTGCGCCATGTGGGGAGCCATGCAAAGCGGCTGCAGAGACAGCCAGGCAAGAGGGTGGAGGAGTGGTCCTAAAGAGCGCGCACAGGGCAAAGCCATTCTCCACCAGGCTCAACCCAACCCAGTCGAGGCTGGGAAGCCCGACAGAGCTCGGTTTCACAAGGAGGTGGCATGGAGGCATCCTTACCTCATAGATCTCACTCCAGCGGGGATTGAGCTCCTCCTTGATGACACGACTGCGGAACTTCTGGCCCCCCAAGCGCACCTTGACATAAGGGTCTGATTTGCCCTTGATCATCCCACCCATGAAGTTGTCTTTGGCAATGAGGTTTTCAGCTTCCAGCAGATGGATGCGAATTACGCTCTGAGGGAGGGAGTAGGTAAGAGAAGATTTAGCTCACTTGGCAGATCCACAGGCATTGCACTACATGGCCCCTGCCTCATTTCTGTGGGGTCTCCAAGCCATCAGTTTTCAAGTACAGCAATGTATCATTCTTCAGCAGGGGAGCAGAGAGTGAAATCAAATGAGATGAGAAGTTAGGGGCCATGGCTTCTGTAATAAGCTGTAATCAATCAGAACTTAAAACAAAAAAGAACTACAGTCGATCTGATGTGGGAGACCCGTGAATAGGAATTCCTGCATTTCTTAAAAGTGTCAAAAGTATTTTATTTGTTTATTAAAATCTGCATTCTACCCTTTAAAAAAGATTCCTGCAGGATATATGTAATATAGTAATAGAACATAAATAGGAACAACTTAGAAAAACTGAAGCAGCAAAAGACAGTATGGCAAAAGACCAGAATCAAAGAGAAAAACTTCCATTCAACACGCCTGGGCAAATCAAAGTCTTTGGAGAGCACTGCAAAACTGGGGCATCCACCACTAAGAAGGCCCATTCTTTGGTTGCCATTCATGGCAACTATGATGGGTAACGACAGCTGAAGAAGAGTCACCCCAGCATATAGGCAGCCCTGTAAAGAATCAGGTTGTCCTTCAAGTCCCCTAGGTGCAAGCCATAAAGATCTTTGAAGGTAAGCATAGGGGTGTTGAACCTCTTTCAACCCAAAGGCTGAATTCCATTTTGGAAAAGCTCTGGGGACTCACATTCTAGCAGTGGGCGGGACCCAAAGGAAAATGGTTTGGCAAATTGGGAAAAAAAATGCTGCGGCAAATTATTTTAGCTTAAAGCTCTTATTGCCAGTGACTAAGCCTTAGGAGAGGCATTTCAGCCTTTCAGAATCAGAGGAAAACTGTGAAAACTAGGAAATCACGGAAAGGACAACAGTGTACCCATTTGGGACCTCTGCTGGGCCGGAAGGGGCCTCCGGGACTGAAGTTCTGCACTGCTGCACTAGCGTCTTGCACTGTGCCTTGAAACAGATCGGGTGAGTGAGTGTGTGTAGGAGGGAGGGAATGAGCAGGCGAGCGTGCATGTACTGTCCTCATGCTGTGCTTGTGGGCTTCCTGGAGGCATCTGGTTGACCCCGTTGGAAAGTGGAAAGTGGGCTACATGGACTTTTGGTCTGATCCAGAGCCAGCAAGATACCGGTGCATGAAGCTTAATTTTCACAACAGCAAAGCCATTCGTGGCAACTAGGGAAAAATTATCTTGGAGTAGCTTTGGAACTGCTACATGAATAGTGTAACTGGAAATGGTTGATGTTTCCTTGACTCTCATGCTTTTTCTTTTTGTAAAACCTGGTAGACCATGAATTAGAGACTCCAATTGTGTTTTTGAACATGATTTGTAAAAAATTTGAACATGATTTGCCACTTTGATAAGTGGCAAATGGTTTGACCTTTTGGTATCAATCCCAGCTTTATTGTAGACTTAAGTATATAAAGTTTACAATTCATAAAGCAGGAAAAAAACCAAAGTCAGATCTGTGGTTGAATCTAAAATGGTAGGTTGATCCCTCCCTTTTCAATGCCCAATTATTATTATGATTACCCTAAAAAAATAACAGCAACAACACTTTTATATCACCCCATAGCCTATTTGGACTCTCTATAGCCCATTTGCTCCACCTGGTCATACATAGCTTCTGCACAGGCACAACATACAACTGGGTAGTGTGGATTTGATTTAAATCAAATTGATTTAAATTATGATTTAAATTTCTAGTCAGTAAAACTAGGGAAAGAAAGACTAATATGGTAAACGCTGAGTTATGTATAAAAAGATCCAAAGACTTGGAGAGTATTCTGCTTAAAAGATTTCACTTTGATTTTTACTGCTTGTCCCTCCCTTCTCACACTTTGCTTCTTGTGCAGATCTATTTCACTGCCAACAATCTTTTTCTGTTCACTGAATTGTTTTGAAACTTAGCACTTAAAAGGTAAGGGGTCGATTCTGTGCACATAGATTTCCTAAGGAACAATGGCATTCAGGTCTTTTTCTCAGGTCTGTATGTTTATTTTATAACCCTTTCTGCTGTGAAGAAGAGGCATGTGATCTCTGCTGACATCAATTCACAGTTCTGAGAACTGTAAAATCTCGCTTCTGTGATAATATCTTCTAGATAGAAAAAATGCCCAATAATTATACAGAACCTTGAATGGATTAATGGAATTCATTTATCAAACAAAAAGCAAAAAGCATTGCATGAACATACAGTCTCATGCTACATAATGAAAAACTAATCCTTATTTCATGATGAATAACATTTGGACTCTAATATATCTTAAACAGAAAACTATCTTTAAATAGATCTTTCTGCAAAAGGCATTTTATTTAAAACATCTTGTTTCAATTGAAAATCCAATTTATTTTTTTTAAATCCAGTTTTTATTTTTTTTTTAAATAATTGATTTTTATCCACCCTGCAATGGGAGTACCTTACCTCAGTACCAAAGGAAGCGTCTGGGCTGGCCTTGGTGGGCCGAGGAGGCCTGTCCACACTGCTGCCAGGATAGGCACTCTCACTGACATTCAGCTCTCCTGGGGGACACGGCCGGGTGTTTATGCAAACTTCAGGTGCATCCAGATACAATACCTACAGAAATGGTAAGAGCCCAAGAAGGGCAAGGTTAGGAAGCCAAGTCAACCGGTCACTTAGAGGCAATGATCTGCAGAAGGAAGCTGACTGGGCGCCAACTGCAGGACTGGAGCGCCTTCCTTCCATTAACTGAGAAGGCCGGGCTGCCAGCCTGGTGAGACGGTGGCAGTGGGAAGTCACGGTAGCAGTGCTGGCCTCAGATGAGTGGCTGCATCACTGCTGATCCAGAAATCACATCTGAAGATCTGACAGGCACTGCCCCTGGCTAACCTCCATTGAAGCCCGGGCCCAATTCAAGGTGTTGATTATGACCTACAAA